TTTGAGACAGGGTTTCTCTAACAGCTCTGGCTGTCCTGGAACTTGTTTTGTAGACAGACCAGGCTGGTCTTGAACTCACTGGGATCAAACTTCATCTGCCTCCCAAGTGCTCGGATTAAAGGCGTGCTGCACCACCACCACCACCACCACCACCACCACCACCACCCATCAATTTGTAGGTTTTTTCACTGTTGTTGTCTAGATTAAAGGCGTGCTGCACCAGCACCAGCACCAGCACCAGCACCAGCACCAGCACCACCACCACCACCCATCAATTTGTAGGTTTTTTCACTGTTGTTGTCTTGTTTTTTTTTTTTTTTTAATTTTGTGAGGCAGGGTTTCTCTGTGCCTGTCCTGGAACTAGCTCTTGTAGACCAGGTGGTCTTGAACTCACAGAGATCCACCTGCCTCTGACTCTGCAGTGCGCCACCACCTCCTGGCTTTTTTTTTTTTTTTTTAAAGATTATTTATTTATTATGTAGTGTTCTGCCTGCACATATGCCTGCAGGTCAGAAGAAGGCACCAGATCTCATTATAGATGGTTGTGAACCACCATGTGGTTGCTGGGAAATTGAGCTCAGGACCTCTGAAAAAGCAGCCAGGGCTCTTAACTCTTGAGTCATCTCTCCAGCCCTGTAGCTGTTTTTAAAAGGATTTAATCATAAATAATCCAGTCAACAAATAATACTAGATGTAAATAACCAAGACCCTAGTAAGCTGGCACCAGGAGCTGTAAGTATACAATCCAAAGTAAGTTCAAGAGTAAGCTATGTTCATATGACAAAAGAAATCAAGATCTAACTAACACACCTACCTCGATCTCGGCCAGTTGACAGGCATTTGAATATCACCATCCTCAGATCCAGTCCCTCTTTAAGCCAGATCTTATCCATAATCTTTATCATCTGTAAAGCTAACATGTCTTGCCGAAGATCTTCACCAACCTTGAAATTAAGGAAATAAATATTGCACCTTTCCCCAAGAGTTTGCAACATGCTGTATGATCTGAGGGGTGTTTGGAAGGGCATGCATAGAGAGAAGGGATTTTCAGAGCTGCACTGTACTCTTCTGTGGTGTCCAAGAGAAATTTACTTAAAATGCTTCCTGTCTCCATTCCATGAAGAGTGTATTTTATTTTAATTAATTTTGAGGTGTTGGGGACCAACACCTTGTGTACACTAGGCAAGTACTCTACCACTGCGACACACTCTGTTCAACAGTATATTTAAAAAGTTGAATTTTAGAGTATGTAAAATACTTTCAATTAAAATATAAAAAGGAAGCTGGGTGGTGGGTAGTAGCACACCTTGGATCCTAGTACTCAGGAAGCAGAGGCACTGTAATTTCTGAGTCTGAGGCCAGTCTGGTCTACAGAGCAAGTTCCAGGACAGTCAGGGCTACAGACAAACCCTGTCTCAAAAACAAAACAAAAAAGAGATCTTGTGATAGCTTGTTTCTTGACTATCAATGCTAATATTCTGACTATAATATTACATTACAGTTATATAAGAGGTCAACAAGAATCTCTAGGTAATTTCTTATAATTGTCTATAAATCTACAATCATTTCAAAATAAAGGTCACTTAAAAATATTAGTTCTTTTGGGGCTGGAGAGGTTAAGATCACTTGATGCTCTTGCAGAGGACCTAGATTCAGTTTCCAGCACCCAAACTTGTTGGCTCACAACTGTCCTTTAACTCCAGTTCCAGAAGATCCAAAGCCCTCTTCTGATCTCAGGGGGCATCAGCATTCATGTACACACATTCAGACAATGAACAAATCTAAATATTAGCCCTCCCCAAATGAATAAGTCTAATAGGAATGTCAGCAGTTTTTCATTTTCTTTTTAAAAACCGGATCATATTTATTTTTATTTTATTGCTGTTATCTTTTGAGACAGGGTCTCACTCTGCAGCCTTGGTTGCTAGCCTGGAACTGGCTATATTCACTAGGTTGGCCCTGAACTCAAAAGTGCCTTCTGCCTTTGCCTCTTAAGTTCTGTGATTAAACATGTGTACCACCATACCTGGTTGAGTGTTAACAGTTTTAACACAAACAATGATAAATACAGTTTTGAGGCTAGCCAAGAAAACTATGAAAAAGATTAAGGGGGATTTGCCTTAACAAATATTGAGACAAGTTGTAAAATATCTATCATTAAAATAGATGGTATTGTTTTAAGAAAAGGCACAAATATCAATAAACAAACAGAAACTTGTATCTATCAAAGAAGGTTCAATTTAGCTATCTTTATTGTGGTGATATTTTGCTTGTACAAATAAAGCCTGTCTGAAGGTCACAGAATGGAGCTTGCCACTAGCTAACCATAGAGGTCTGTAGGTTTGTACAGGTCTAGACAAGAAGTTAGATGGCTGGTTGGGAGACGATATAAGTGGGCGGAAACAGGAACTTGCTATCTTGTCTGCTGAGATGCTAAGGAGGTAAGGTGTGGCTGTGGGCTTGTTCCTTCTTCTCTCTGATCTCTCAGCATTTTCCTCTACATCTGAGTCTGGCTTTTTATTATTTAGACCAAGTAAGAATTCCTTTTACACTTTGAGCCTCCAATTAATCAACTTAATGGATTAATCAGAAGTCTTCATTCTTTCTTCAATATATATACATTATGATAACAACTAACAAAATTTCAACAGGTAATAGGTATTTTTCCTAATACTCCAGTCCTTCTGCTTCACATAGGTAATCTCTATGTTTCTAAAAACTAACTGTCAGGTATGGTGGCTTACCCCTATAATCCCAGCACATGAGAAACTGTTAACTGGATGATCCAGGGTTCAAGGCCAGCCAGGACTATACTGTGAGATGCTGTTTCACACAAACAATCCTCTAAGTAATGTCACTCTTTCTGGTTTTGCAGCTTGGCAAACCTAGTGGTACTTGCCTTTTGTGATATGCTTACCAGGTTGGCCAAGGGCTGCATTTGTCCCCAGTCCTACCTATGAAGATTTTATGTCAGTAATAATTTTACAGAACTACTCAAGTTGTTCACGTCATTCATCTGTTTGTTATGAGACAGGGTTTCACGGTTGAGGCTGGCCTAGAACTTGTGGTATTCCTTTCCTATACTTCCTAAGTATTGAATTACAAGTGTGTGCTACCATTTTAAATATTGCTGATTCAACTTCGATATTAAATAAATGTTTAGCCAGGCAGTGGTGGTGCACACCTTTAATTCCAGCACTCAGGAGGCAGAGGCAGGTGGATCTCTGTGAGTTCCAGGCCAGCCTGGTCTATAAATTGAGTTCCTGGACAGCCAGAGGTACACAGAGAAACCCTGTCTCGAGGTAAAAAAAAAAACCTCCAGAACAAGAGAAAGTCTGGTATGGTGGTACACATGGGTAGATTACTGCAAGTTCAATTCTAGCCTGTTCTACACAGCAAGTTCCAAGATAGCTAGGGTTACATAGAGAGACCCTGTCTAAAAAACAAACAGAACCAAATCAATACCCCCTGAAAGAACTCAAGAAACAAAAACCACAGAATAACTCTAGTCATCTCACCTTAAACATGACATTAATTTCTTCCCCCATAGGATCAGCATTCACCATTGTGACTTTCAGAGGCATAGCGTTAGAACTGAAGAAAGAACATGACTGCAAGCACAATACTGAGCATTAGAAAGACTGACAGTAGCATGAAAGTGAATTTTGAATTTACTGTCCCTGATATTTTTCTTTTTCATCTGCTGCTTTAAATGACAGCAAGTTAAACAATGGATGTTAATTAGCATTTACACAAACTGCCAATAATATGGATATATAAATAGCTCTTGAAATTTTTTTTTAAAGATTTTATTTATTTATTATGTATACAACATTCTGCTTCCATGTACATCTGCACACCAGAAGAGGGCACCAGATCTTGTTGTGAGCCACCATGTGATTGCTGGGAAATGAACTCAGGACCTCTGGAAGAGCAGTCAGTGCTCTTAACCACTGAGCCATCTCTCCAGCCCTAGCTCTTGAAATTCAAACATAGTATGTATCAGTAAAATAGCTACTCTATAAAGGCAGAAAAACAGAAAAATTTAAAATTTGGTGCAAAACCTATCTGAAATGCTTAAGTATCTGAGTATCTGAGTCTCTAAACAGAACACCCAGTTGTCTGATACTCATTCTGATCTGGGATTACAGCTCCAGTTTCACTTATGTACTGGTGTAATTAAATACTGACTAACACTAATAATTTTATGGCCTAGATCAAATCACATTTTCTCTATTTTTTTGTGGGATTGGATTGGAGATTGAACTCAGGGCCTTACACACGCTAGACAAGTATTCTACCAAAAAGTTACAAAATCTTATCTTAAAATAAAACTTTAAAAAAACTAGTATAAGACCATCACCATAATTTAAGAACATAAAACAAAACCCAAAGTAATAAAAAAAAAAATCTGACACTATGTCTTTCAGGAATACTGATTAGGTAAAAAAAAAAAAAAAAAAAAAAAAAAAAAAAAAAAAAAAA